ATTTGTTTCCTCCTTTGCAGCGCCACATGCATAATTACTTTTTATTAAACTGCTCTAAGAGGGCTTTCTTGAGTCTCCTCCTTTCATGGCGTGAGTTTGTTTCTTGGGCTTAGGCCCATCTACTCCCACCTTTAGTGCACCCCCCCCCCCGCCTGCATTTCCATGCACCGTTCGCATGTGCGGTGCAGTGCATGGCACGTAGTGCCCAGGGGCCTGATGGGTCAGAGGGTGGTGAGTGAGCCACAACTAAGGGCAGGGACTCTGGTAAAGCAGAGTCCTTTCTTTCTTTCTTTTTTAAAAGTATTTTAAAGATTTTATTTATTTATTTATTTATTTATTTATGCAAGCACTGGGTACAGTCAGAAGCGCGGGAGGGAATTCCCAGAGAGAATTCCCAGAGCCAGAGCAGGGAACAGAACAGGCAGACTGACGAAGTACACTGCTGAGGGGAGCAGCGGGTGGCAGGAGAGGTCTGCATGCCATGTGGGACCCTCGTCTGACAGCCGGAGATCGAACCAGCGCTGTAGAGGCTGCGGGCAGCTTCGCAACCCAATGCTCAACCACTGCGCCACCGGCGAGGCACAAATCTTTCTTTCTTAACTTTAACCTTGAAATGTGTTCTCTGGTCAAATGAAACCAAAATTGATATCATTTCAGTTGTTGATAATAAAAAGCATCATCTCCGTGATAGATGCCTTTTCTGGGGAAGTCACTGATGGAGGGTAGTCTGTCGGTGTCCTGTGGTTTTGCAAAATGCTGCTGCTGCAGTGACTTAGCCTGTTTTGTGCTGTGGGCACTACATTTCAAAAATGTCATTCATTTATTGCTCTTGAGTGGTGCATTAGTATCCCTCTGTCACAGCATTTGTAATTAACATTAACATTCAGTGATTCGGGGCGGTCAGTATTAATAAGAAATAATAAGACAGTTGATTTAGGAAGGACTGGTTGTTTTCTAGTAGGTAGACATCATCCGTGTCCCCAAGGAGCCTCACTGAGAAGTAGTGGTGACTTTCTTGTAAAGAAATCCTCGTCCTCTGTGACAGCACCAGGAAGAGGCACATACGGGCATCACAGTGGGGCGAGGAGAAGGTCTGCAGATGTGACTGTGGCACGGACAATGTTCTAAACAGGAAGGCCGGGGAGTTTGGAGTAAGAATTTGCCAGCTGAAAAGACCTTCCGGTCCTAAGATACAATGTCCAAAGATAAAGGAACATTATTAGAACATTCCAGCATCTGTGATCAGAGGGCCTGGCAAGGAGGTAGACAAGATGGACATGCCGGATGTGGAAGGGGTGTTGAACGGCTGTCCTCTTGAGAGTAATGGCCTTCCCCGAGGAACATGTGGGAGGCACCAGAGGAGGAAGACAGCTCCCAGGAGGAGGGATCTGTCAGCGGAGATGGGAGGCAGGAGCTGATCACCAGGACAGGGCAGAGTGAGGAAGACTCGGAATGGCCTTAGCAGAGCAGGGGCTCTAGGAGAGGGGAGAGGAAGGTACTTGTGTGTTAAAGAAACTGAGCTGAGTAAAAATCAAAATCAACAAGCAACTATACACCAGAGACACACTCCTGGTGGTGGGGGGGAGAGAGTAGGATCAAAACAAGGAGGGTGGGAATTGTAGGGGGACTATAACCAAGATGAAAATGCATGCATTGTGCAAAGATGAAAAATGAGGTAAAATATATATATATAATTAAAATATAATAAATTAAAAAAAAAGAAAAAAGAAACTGAGCTGGATCCTTGTGAGTGGCAGCAGATGAAGAGTGTAAGGTGTCCCAGAAACCTCTGGAGAACTGCTTTTAGGAAGGAAGGAGTGATGAATGACAGATGGCTCAAGTGAGGGAAAAACTAAGATGGAAGGCATGTGTTTCCTAACTAGGCCATCTGCGGTGACTTTGACAAGGGTAGTGTTGGTGGGTTGAGGAAGACAAAAGTCCTGGGGGTGTTGGGGGGTGAAAGCAGAATGAGAACATGAACACCACCTCGGGCAGGCAGAGCCAGCGGGGGTCCTTTCTCGTGTTATTTTGTCTTCAGTGAAAGTAGGCACTTAAACCGGCTTGATCCTCAGCTGATACGACGTTGAGGTCGCGTAGGAAGTGGGTCTAGGTGCAGGAGACCTACATTTAGGGGTAACATGGCTTTAGACAAGAGCAGTGAAAGAGAAGGAAGGCAAGGAGAAGAGGGTGAGATGTCGGTAAGTCTGGCTGGGGGTTACTTTGGGGGCCCAAGAGAGGGCATGTTGAGAGAGAAGGGAGCAGAGGGGTCCCGGAGGAGGAAGAGTGGTTCTGAGCAGGTGGCATGGGGGAGCCACTACAGGGGACATGAAAGGACTCAGCTGAGCGGGTGGCCCCCATCCACCCACAGGTCCCAGGTTGGAAGTCACAGGCCAGCACAGCAGAAGGTCAAGGGGGAGGCTGCTGAGCATGCTGGGGTGATGGGGAAGGGATCTCAGTGACTGCAGAGGGCCCCTGCATTTAGGTGTGAGCAGAGGAGACAGGGAAAGTGGTCTGAAAAGAGAGAGGAGAGGGGGTGAAAGGGGCAATTGCACCGTGAGTACAGGACGCAGAGCTGGTCCTTGCAGGGGAGACACTGGCATGGGCCTCAAGGGCAGGTGCGTATTCTGCGTCGGGGTGCCCCAGCCTAGAACGGCATCCAGGTGGGGAAAGCCTGGCCAGGAATTCCGCTCAGAATCTGCACCACAGCTTCTGACTGTCAGACTCAGTGATCCTTAGCCTTTGGGGAAGGATTTGGTTTTTAGCCAAGTCGTTCCCAGCCAAGTGTGATGAAGAAAGTAGACCATCAAACCGGGTAATACCATTTTAGGTACAAGTGGAGATGTGGTTCTAAATAACAATCGTCCTGATGTGACTGTCCCCCTCTTACGTGACAGTACCCCTTTTCTTAGGCCTTGGTAGCCGTTCCCAAAGTGAGCAGTGACAGCATGCATAGCTTCTCAAAGTGACGAGATCAAGAGAGACAATCTTTTGGATGCAGATGTCTGAAGAAATTTGGGGGTCACACGCCTTTAGAAACGGGCAGTTCTCCATAAATACTCCTGCTGTAAATAGGAGGCTACTGTCATCGTATCTGCACAGTCCTTTGTGTGTCTTTCAAGTCATTTATGCAATGTCGTCCTTAAAGTGGTGAGACCCGGCAAGAGTATTTTTAAGGCCGACTTGGCCTGCTTTATTGATGTTCTGTTTCTTCGCTGGAAACTGGGAAATTAGGATTTTTATTATCATTGGTACGTGTCAGACACTTCAAGGTCTCCAGATGAAGAGTTATGTTAAAGGCAGAGGGGCAGCCATTATCTTTCAAAAGCTTCATTTGTTGTCAACATGTTGCTCTGTTTCCGATGAGTCCTCTGAGCCTCCATCTCCTTGAGGTACCAGAGTGGCAATTTTGTCCTCAAAAGTAAGACTGACGATAGTGGCTGCTTTGAATGATAGTGTGGAAAGTAGCTATGACATGAAGAAGCGCTGAGTAGAATGGGGGCTGGTAATCCTGTCGTGGGAGAGGGGGTTATGATTTACCGGTTCCAGAGGAGCAGAGGGCCAGCCCTGCCATCTCAGAGACCAGCCCTCAAGCCTGCTTAGCCACCCACTTAAACACACTGTCGTGCCTTATGTTGCTTTCATCTCGTGCTTTCTGTTGAAGTTGGCTGCTTCCCAAACGCAAAGACTGTCTCCCCTTCCTGAGTGGGGTGAGTGCCCTTGGCATTCTGGGCAGACAGGTCTTTCTTGTACATGACTCCCAGAAATTCCATTGGTTGGCACCCCTGACTTCTTGGCTGTAAATGCCAGGAGCCCCCAATAGTCACCATGGCAGTCAGAAATGTCACCCCAATATCCACATGCCTCTTGTTGTTTGTAGGTGCCTGGTGGGCTGGGTTACCAGAAGGTCAAGGAAAAGAGGAAACACTCTTCTTTCTAAATCTCTCTCTCTCTCTCTCTCTCTCTCTCTCTCTCTCTCTCTCTCTCTCGCTGTCATTTCTGTTCTTTTCCTTTTTGATTTTTTTTTTCAATTGTGGTATGAAGAAATGACAACAAGAGCTCAGAGTCTTTTTTGAAGGCTGAAAACAAATGAATAATCCAGGAGAAGACTAAGAGGGGATAGAAGAAAGAGAGAGTGTAGTGAGGAAGCTGGGAGATAGGTTTCTGCACATTTGCATGTTTTCTGTTGTGATTTTCTCACTGAAGCCATGAATCCGATTTCCAGTAAGAACACTCGTGCGTGTGCGCACTGTAGGGTCTGACTGATTGCAGGGCACCCTAAATAGATTGCCCAGAGAACACAGTTACAAGTGCCTGCGGATTTAGATCCAGCCCCTGAAAGACAAGAACAGCTTGTTATAAAGCAAGTCCATTTGGATTTCCTCTGGGGGTGGGGCGGTGCCCTACTGCCTGGTCCTGGCCTCCTATTTTCCAATGCTCCTGCAATATAACCCAGGGGCACAGACACCACAATCTAGGCAGTTTTCTGTTTTAACTTTTGTAAATGAAGGTCTCCTGGGCTTCCCCTAGTGGCGCAGTGGTTGAGTGTTGGGCTGCAAAGCTGCCCAAAGCCTTTGCAGCACCAGTTCAATCCCCGGCCACCAGCAAGGGTTCCACATGGCGCGCAGACCTCTCCTGCCGCCCGCTGCTCCCCTCAGCAGTGTACTTCGGTCCTTCTGCCTGCTCTGCTCCCCGCTCTGGCTCTGGTGAATTCTCTCACCCTCCCGCGCTTCTGACTGTACCCAGTGCTTGTATAAATAAATAAATAAATAAATCTTTAAAATAAATAAATGAAAGTCTCCTAGTGTGCCACGACCATGTTCGAAAAATCCAAAAAAGAAAACAAATCCCAGCAAGAGTGTACCTGGCCCACCTTTCAAGGATCTAGCCTTTAGCTTGCTGCGATTGCTGAAAGTCATCTTTCATGTGTTTTCAAAATTTGCACTAACCCTCTTGGACCCTTCCTGCCATACTGAAGCTGATTTTCTACTTTATTTTTTCAGTTGTTCATGGTGGACAATGGAGCAGATGACTGGAGAATAGCCATGACTTACGAGCGTATTTTCTTCATCTGCTTGGAAATACTGGTGTGTGCGATTCACCCCATACCTGGGAATTACACATTCACGTGGACGGCCCGGCTTGCCTTCTCCTATGCCCCATCTACCACCACCGCTGATGTGGATATTATTTTATCTATACCAATGTTCTTAAGACTCTATCTTATTGCCAGAGTCATGCTTTTACATAGCAAACTTTTCACTGATGCCTCTTCTAGAAGCATTGGAGCACTTAATAAGATAAACTTCAATACGCGTTTTGTTATGAAGACTCTAATGACTATCTGCCCGGGAACTGTGCTCTTGGTTTTTAGTATCTCCTTATGGATAATTGCCGCGTGGACTGTGCGAGCTTGTGAAAGGTAAGTTGGTTTCTTTTCCTGAGAACGTTATTTGCCATATGGTCTTCTTGAAGGTGGGAGAAAGAACACCTTTCGGACTCGACACCTGTAATGAGTCACTGTCTCGTAAGATTTGATCCTTCCCGGGGATGCTTTTAAATGAGGGTGACAAAGCTTATGGGATTTTTCTGTACAGCAGTACCTTTACATGATGATTTACTTCTCCAACTTGATCGGTTTTCAGTAGAGGCTGCCTTTTAGAATCTTTGTTGAAATTTGGAGACCTCCAAATCGTGTTGGGGTGTCTCTATTGGAAATGTTAGTTTGATAGAAATACTGAGTCCTTTTGGTGACTCATTGGTTGTAAGTGTTGATTATTTTGGAGACTGAAATCCAATGGGAAGGTGGGGAAGCAAGAGGTCTGCCCTTGAGGCGACTTCTCAGAGCGGTGTGCTGATGGTGATGTCTGCTTATATTTGTTTCACATGATTACCTGATAAGGAAGTTACTGGTGTGCATATTTATTGATTTGTCAATAATTAATGAAAAGGGGTACTGTATGTTTTATTGTCTAACATGCTGGTGGTCAGGAGCAAGACTTTCTTAGAATTCAGGAGCTGTTCAGGAAGCCTGACGTTAAATTTGCCATTTAACAAGCAAACAAAAATAGCTTATTACATAAGCAGGAAGAACTCTGTCATGAGGAGGTGAAACTCATGTGACTTTCATTAACAAAATTCTAGATGGAATCAGAATTAGGCAGGAATGACCTAGAAGGGTCTAGAACTGTGGAATGTTAGGCTGTTGGTCTTGATTTTTATTTTTTAATTATTTTTAACTTAGGTTTTGAAAATCAAAGTAATATAGCCACAATGTTTAATGAAGAAAGATATCTGTATGGGAATTGTTGCAAAAAAAATAGTCACTCTATCCTACGGTTCCTCCAATTCTACTTCCCAGAAACAGTCACTGTGTAATTCTTTTAGACATTCCTTAGGTAATTACTTTCTATGTTTCTGGATGAAATTGTGTACATTCCTACATCTAAACTTTTCAATATATATATATATATATATATATATAAGTTGGAGTGTTAATTTCCTTTCACTGGTCTCACATATAACCATCATCTCTCTAACCCTAACCCTGCAAAGTCATTTCTATCCCCCCAAAGGTTACATAAAAACCATTCCTCTATATTCCATGTTTATATCATTAGGGGTATGTAAATTGCATTTGTAGTTGAACCCCATAGTATATATACTATAATTATTTTGCTTTCTTTTTTCCCTTTGGAATTAATAATTGCCTCATTCTATTTGCTTAGCTTGCTCATTTTTTAATTTGCTGGATTTTCTACCTAATTACCATGAAATCATCCCTAAGTTTTTACACAGTATGTAAGATCCTTTTTCTGTATGATTACTATATGGGCAACTGATCAATTTCACCTTAAAGGAATAATCCTTGGGACAGTCTAACCTGCCTATCCATCAGGTTGGTGATTTCCTTTGCCTTATTTGCATGTACCCTTTTTCTTGAGCCTGTTTCTCCTCCTTTTTTCATTTCTTTCTTCATTTTGGCAGAATCCACCTTCAAACAACTTTAAGAAAAGACAATGGGTAAGAGAGATACTTTGTATGTCCTTACAGGAATGGTAGTCTTTATTCTTTTCTCCTGATTAATAGAATGCCAGGCTAGATATAAAACTCTAGATTGGAAATCACTTTCCCCTCCAGAATATTGGATCTAGCAGTTTGATGCTTTTCATCTTTTTAATCCTTTTTTTCTAGATACTTAGGATCAGTGTTCTAAAATTGCATACAAGGACACAGCTTGGCATGGATTTTTTTAATCTAGTGTACAGGAGATTGAACGGGCCTGTTCAATCTTGGAATTAATGTTCTTCAGTTCTTGGGAATTTTCTTGATTTGTTTCATGATTGTTTTTTTTGTGGTTGTTATTGTTTGACAATAGGCCCTCCTGTAGTATTTCTTTAATTGTCTCACTTTTTTCTATACCCTTGTCCATCTCTGTTTTTGCCCTATGTATGGAAAAGAAGCTCAGTTTTATTCTTTAAACTTTTTTTGTTGGGATTTTTTATTTCTTTTCTCTATGTGTTAGTTTCTGGTATCTCATTTTTGATCACTGAATGCCCATGTTAAAAAAAAAATATATATAGTACCACACTTATCTTTCATAGAGGTACTCTTTTATTTCTCTGGAGATGTTAACTTGTGAAAGATTTGACCTTTGTATATTTTTGGTTTTCCCAAAGATTTGTTTTGCATTTATTTTGGCTTCTATTTAAATAACTTGCCTTAAATATCTATGTAGGCTTGACTGTTTGCCCATACTTAAGAGTATACTTAAGAGGCACTTGAGAGCTGATTGGAAGCTTATCCAATGTGGGTTTCCCTGAATGGTGATTGGGGTGGGGGGCGAACCCAGGACTCCTCTTTCAGTTTCTTTACATAATTCCTGTTTTCTCTGAACAATCCAGCTGGCCCCTGGGAGGTCTTTTCTACTGTCCTGCCAACATGGTAGAAACCTGGGTGACAGTGTTCTGAGAATTCAAAGGTAACATGCAAACATTAATTTTCCTTGTTGCACTATAGTAGACCTGCTCGCTGTAGTGTGTGATACCCATACTCTGACATCTGACCCTCTGTAAACAATAAACTTCCATACTTCTGCTACCCTGGCAAAAGACACATCCAGCCTCATAGAGTGAAGAAGGAATCAAGGAGGCTAAATTCTTGTCTGCAGCATTTGAACCTGTCCCATACTCAGACTCTGCCATTGTCTGCAGTTGCAGAGGCATTGATGTCCAGACTCTGGTGGGAACCTGAGGCTGGTTCTTAAGGCAAGCGTGTTTGTATGTAGTGTTTTCTACCACTGCTGTCCTGCAGGTGCCCTTCTCAAGCCAGGTAAAGTAGTTGTCCATTAGCTCTTCAGTTTCTACTTTCTTTATGACTGTCTTGTCATTCATGCACATTGTCTTTGTGGGCTTACCCTGTTTGTTTATATTAAAAATCATCATCACCTTATGGGGGCTTGGTGGGAAAGCTGAGACCAGAGCGTTTGTGGAACCCACCAACTTTTACCACACACTCTGTAGAGTCTAATTTTCAGTATCCTGCTTCTGAACCTTTAGTAGACCTTTCCTCCATGAACTTGGCATATGAGGAATAAAAGTTTTCTTTTTAAAGAAGGGTAGACTCCTTATGGTAGTGCTTTGTTTCCTAGCAATCCTGGTATTCAGAGGCTTATGATATTTTCCGGAGCAGATGCCCCTATAAAGTTTGAAGAATAAATATGGAAAATCTTAGTGGATTCACCTATTTAGTTGATGAAGATTACTCTTACAAGGTATGCATAGCAACCTAACCGTGGGCGGGAAAGCAGCTTCATCATCTGTACAGGTGTAGGGAGGTCCCTGGGGCATCTGCTGCTTCCCAACGGCTCATGAAATCAAATAGCCTCAAACTGTGCATGTGTCATAGACTGCATTTTCAAAAAGTGGTTCCTCTTAACTGCTCTAACCTATTGCCACTAAATACAGAAAGCCTGAGGCTGGCTGGGCCAGGCCTTCTTAGCAGCCCTGAGTTTGTGTGTTTTGGGGTATGCTTAGATGATTAGAAGCACTTAAAGTGAAAACTGTGCATTTAATATCACAAATGAGAGTGTTGCCAGCTATTATGTGAAGGAACAGATCCCTGGCATGTTGGGTCGGGAGGAAGACCAGACTGGGTTGGGACCCGGAGTTGTCCTACTCATGCAGTTCACGCCAGCCTGCTCTTATCATTTTGCTGTTGTCTCTTCATTTACACACTGAACGGATGGACAAGCTTTCCCCCTCCAAAGGTAACATTTTACACTTGTACAAATGTGTAAAAGAAAAAAACCCAGCATTTTCCTATTTGATTTTTCATTAGATTTCTTATTTTGCTGCATATAATGTCCAGATTGTGACTCTAAGATGCAAAGATGTAAAAAGATTTTCTTTTTCACAGAGTTGGGAATTTTGAATGTGATGTCAGCTGCATCTCTTCTTTCTTTGGATATTTCTTTTCTCGCCCCCTGCCTGTTCTGTGACTTCCTAAACACTTCAAGTGACACTTGGTTGGGATTTGGATTCAAATGAATTCCCACCAACTCCCTCTTCGGTCTCTCCTTACTAAAGGGAGTTTTACCCCTGATGGAAATTTTCTTCTTTGTTAATGGAAAGTCTAAGAATATTTTGAAAGGGAAAGCTTTTGAGAAAGAGGGACGCAGATGACTTTCTGGAAAAACTTGTCCTGCCAGCTTATCCCCCTCCTTGCACTGAGCATAGCACATCTACAGGTTTCTGGAAAATGGCCTCCACTAGTGAGGGCATCCCAAAGGAGGCATCTATCCCTGGTCATCTTACTTACCCTGGCTGAGCACACTTGTGGTTTCCCTGTAGGTAATAGAAATTTCTTTCCCTATTCCACCCTCCTGCCCTCTCTCCCTTCCCCCCACTTCCTTCCCTTTTTGGGAGGAGTGAATGACAGGAGGAAGCAGAGTAGACAGTATCTGGCCTTATTTCTGTGACCTAAGCTAGTCAGGGGGAGGTTTTCCCAGATCAGACCATGGTGTCCCTTTTCTCTCTGGTTCTGGTCCGGCCTTGTGTTGAGGTCGATCTAAGTCCTGGAAAGATCTCTCTTCTGAAGTAGTGTGGGAAGTGTGGCCCGGTGCTGTTAAGCTTTCTGTTCAGGGCTGCCTGCGCCATGGCATATAATCAAATCTATCAGGAGAAACTTCAGAGCTTTTTCTGTCTTAGAAGGATCTGGGATCACAGATCCTTGGGATCACAGAAACTAAGAATTATCCTCATACCTTTTGAGCCTCCCTGGTTTGTAGAGGGACCATAGGCAGCTGTTCTCCCCAGAGTGTTAACCTCGACACTTTCTGAGGGAGGTTAGGTGAGGACCAGCAGTTGGGCTAGTGCTATGCCACAAAGAACAGCATGAACTTTGTGTTTCTTTTTTGATCTA